TAATCTTGAGAAAATCAACAGATCTTTTTTTTTATATAGAATCTTAAGTTAAAGTTAAAGTTAGAGATAATCTTAAGAAAATCAATAGATCTTTTTTTTATATAGAATCTTAAGTTAAAGTCAAAGTAAGAGATAATCTAAAGAAAATCAATAGATCTTTTTTTTTATATAGAATCTCAAGTTAAAGTCAAAGTTATAGATAATCTGAAGAAAATCAATACATCTTTTTTTTTTATATAGAATCTTATGTTAACGTCAAAGTTAGAGATAATCTTGAGAAAATCAACACATCTTTTTTTTTTATATAGAATCTTAAGTTAAAGTCAAAGTTCGAGATAATCTGAAGAAAATCAACAGATCTTTTTTTTTATATAGAATCTTAAGTGAAAGTCAAACTTCGTGATAATCTTAAGAAAATCAATAGATCTTTTTTTTTATATAGAATCTCAAGTTAAAGTCAAAGTTAGAGATAATCTTGAGAAAATCAACAGATCTTTTTTTTTTATATAGCATCTTAACTTAACGTCAAAGTTAGAGATAATCTTAAGAAAATCAATAGATCATTTTTTTTATATAGAATCTTATGTTAAAGTCAAAGTTAGAGATAATCTAAAGAAAATCAATAGATCTTTTTTTTTATATAGAATCTTATATATATAGTAATGCTTTTTATTTAAGATTTAAAGGCTGTGGTAATTACCACACTTCGAAGTCATGGACAAAGAAACATCGTCCCTGTGACAATACAGATAAAGATCCACAAAAAAAACACATAGAAAAGCATACACATATTAAAGTTAATCATACAAGTCATAATTATTTAATAGAGAAAGATTTAAACAAAATAAAGTAAAAAAGAAAGGTTAGTAAGAGCTAAGACACAATAGACATCCCACTACGAGCACCCAGATACACTTTTGGAAACAAGAAGTAACCATATATAACAAAGACAAAGAGGAAAAAAGTAAAAAAAACAAAAATTGCACATGATAAAGTAACAGTTAGAATAATCAACCACTAGTTGGAAAAGAAGTATACATAAACACATACATACATATACATATATATGCATATCCCCATGTATATATATATAAATATATACACACATACGTATACACATACACATACATACACACACACACATACACATAACCATATATGTATATGTATACCTCTACGTATTCTTCGCTTTATTGAAAGCAAATTATAAAGTCCAATAGTGAGTACTTTGGACCATTTAATAAACTAGTTATTTTGTTGTTTGTCCTACCTCTTTTAACAATTTTACGTTTTTCTTTCAGGAGAGATGAATTTTTGTAATACTCATTGATATATAACAAATATAATTTAAATTGTAAAAAGTCCCTTATAATGTTAGGATTTGTCCGAAGAATGGTAACTATAAGTTTGTCCCAATGGTGTTGTGATAATTCTTCAATTGTCTTGAATTTAGTTAAGTGATTAATTTCAATATTCCTGGCATCATGCCAGCCATGAATATATCGATGAATTTTCCTGTTCAATGCTTCTAATTTTTTTCTCTTGGTGATCGATAATATAGGAAAAATATTTAATAATGATTGATAATATGGTCTAATGTAAGCATTATATAATCTATATGCAACATCTTCCGTTAGCATCCGACCTGCTGTCATGCGCTTAAAAATTGATAAGTTTTTGTATATTTTTGATTCAATATGATGGATATGTTGGGAAAAAGAAAGCTTACAATCTAGATAAGTACCGAGGTATTTAATATTTGTTACGTGAGAAATCACTTGACCCTTGCAGGTTACTTGTGGAATTAAAGGTGCGACTTGTCTATGAAACAACATCCATTGCGTTTTGTTAAAATTGATGGGCTGTTTCCACAAGGTAGCATATGCTATCAATGCCTCAATTATCTTTTTTAGTAATGTGGTTAAGTTAGGTATTAATTCTTTTGAAGTCCATGTTGCTGAAGGTGAGATCACTACCGACATATCATCAGCATACAGGTGTGCCCAATGAAGTGGTGAACAGCATTTTAGTAAGTCGTGATGGTATACAATAAAAACGACCGGACCTATGCATGATCCCTGTGGCACTCCTTTGTATAAGGTAAATATACTGGATCTATTATTTTTTAATTCAGGGTACGCCTTTCTCCCAATAAGGTACTTCCTTAGCCATGCTATGAAATACTCTGGACAGCCAAGCCGATGTAATTTAATCCATAATCCACTATACCATAATTGGTTGAAAGCACTCTTAAAATCTATAAATACAGCTGCGGCCGCTGTATTAACAGCTAGACATTGACCAATTTGATCTATAATTGAGACCATTCGAACGGACATATTATGCCCGGATCTAAATCCGGTCTGTTCTTCTGGAAGAAAGCCCGATTCCTTTACCCACTTATGAAAATATATTAGAAATACTTTCTCGTATAATTTTGAAAAGCACGGTAGAAGCGAAATAGGACGAGTCTCGTTTACATTTACAATGTTTGTCCTAGCTTTAGGTAGCAGTATCATTTTTGCAACTTGCCAATGTGTTGGATACGCTAGATGCGAAGCAAAAAAATTAAACGAATTCCATATAATCGTATGATAAGCTCTTGGTAACAGTTTAATTGATTTATTTGAAACTCCATCAATACCAGTCGAGGTTTTATTTTCTAATGTTGAGATAGTTCCAGTTATATCCTTTAATTTAATAAAAAATGCTGATATTTTGTTGTTTTTTATATTAATTTCCAATTGCTTATCCAGATTCTCCGCCTCCTTCTCTATATCAGAGAGGGTATTGGTATGTTCAGAAAACTGTTCTTGATAGAATTCTTTGGCCATATCACACATTTCGACTGGCGTTGAAATTATTGCACCAGTTGAAGTCAAAAAAGCTTCGATAGGTGGAGAAGTCGAAGAAAAATGTCTTTGTGCTCTTTTCCAAAAACTTTTGACGTCATATTTGTTTAACGATTTGCAATATTGACGCCAAGCAAGTCTTTTATACGTCATTAATTCTTTTTTTATTGCTGTTGAATGTTCTTTTAATTTTATAAAGAAATACGGATGTCTAGTTTTTCTTGCGAATCGTAAGTAAGAATTTTTTATACGCATTAAATCTATAATGTGTGACGGTAATGATGGTTTATACGAATTACAGTACGAGACGAAAGTAAGCCTCGCCGCTGATAATGCCAAGAATCGTTCAAATAAGCAAAAGAATTGTATTTGATCTTGCATTAATGATGCTAAATTTTTCCAAAATGTAAAGCTGAACGTTGTGAAGAGTTCGTAAACTTCCCAATAGGTGCGTTTCACCGGAAGAAGTTGATCCATTTTTGTTAGTTTGATAGTAGGAGTCCAGGTGACAGGCAAATGATCACTTCCCATGGCGGGAAGAACCGAGAAGGAAGGTGAAATTCCCCTAAGATGTGCCGGGGCAAGTATTAAATCTATCGTTGACAATGATCGAGTAGATGTTGGAACATGTTTGTTAATAACCTCCAGAGAATTAATTGATAACCAGTTGAATAGGTCGTTACCTTTTTTATTATTTCCTGTTTTAGACCATGAGTGATGTTTAGCGTTGAGATCACCAAGAATAATTGTACGTTTGTTGCGATTTATAATTTGTTCGAGCAGATCAATCTGTAGGTTCTCATTTGGAGGTGAATAATATGTTGCTAATTGAAATTTATCATGCGATGAACCTATGTCTAATACTATTACATTTGGAATTGTTTGGAACGTATCGATTCGATGTACGGGTATAGAACGATGTGTTGCTATTAGAACGCCACCAAACTTGTTTGTGTCTTTTTGAAAGAAAATATTATAGCTATTCATGTGTTTAGAGAAAGTTTTAATGGCAGCATCGTCATATCGCGTTCCATTAAGGACAATAATAGAGTAAGGACATTTATCCAAAAGAAGAAAAATTTCATGTAGATATAATGTTAGACTGCTAACATTTAACAGAATTATTCTAATTTCACTTTTGACTTGCATCATATTCTGAGTTTGTTTATTTCTTGTTTCCCATTTTCGTAGAAGTGCCTCTAATGTTGGAGTAGTAGTCCATTCGGTCACGATCTTGGTAAAGATATGTTTTTGTTTATATGACAAGTGATCGAAAGGTATATTGCATGAAGTATTTTGATTAGGAAAAAAAGATTTAGCTAATGGATTCATGATTTATTTCCATACTAGCATTATTATTAGTTGATTCTAATGTATGTGTATTTATCATATTGATTCGTTGTTGATCTGTTGTTTTAGAGAAGTTTTGTATCAAAGAAAAAGGCATAGAAGAAGCTTGTTGATCTAGCCAACTAACTAGCTTATTATATGCTGGATTTAGTTGATACTTTTGTTGGGCGTTTGTATGAGTATAAATAATTTTTGTAACATCTCTCAAAAGTGGACAAACGATGTCCTTCAGAATATAGTTCAGATTTATAATTTCTATGTTTTGGTTGTTAATTTTTGTGTTAATCTCATTTACTTGTTGATTGAGTTCTGTTTGTTGCTGAAGTATTATTTGTATATTCTGTTCAATTATATTAAGCTTTTCCATCATCTGGTGATTATTATCTGCTTTTCCTATAACTTGCCCCATCGATCCTGCCACTTTAGGTACTTGACTTCCGAAAAGATGATTGACAGAATTACCTGTCCATTTATTTGTAATTACAGTGTTTGTTTCCGTTAAGACTCGTGATGGAACAGTTTTTGTTTGCATCTTTTTATTTTCCCTAATTTCGATCTTCAGTGGACACGATGGATTCCCGGTCATATGTGTACCTTTACAGTGCGCACAGCAGATATCATTTGAACAATTTGGATTATATTCATGTTGTTGCCCACATTTGAAACATATTGGTTTGTCCTTGTTCGGACAATGTGCCGCTACATGATCGTCATACTGTTGACATATATAACAACGAAGTATTTTTGTTGGAAGAGTATACGGTTCAACAGTATAAGCTGTATTCTCATCTTCAAGTAATATTCGTTTATGTTTTAATATATCCATCAATTCTTTATTAGACGAAAAATCGATACGAATTTTTGAGATAGGTTTTCCACCTTTTACATATAAACGTTCGCCTTTTATAATCGTTTTGTAGCGTAGTTTGAGTTCATTACAGAAGTCCTGCACATCCCATTGCGTAGGGATGTTCAACACCACCAATGAGTAAGACGCAGGAAATCTACGCGGAAAAGAAATGGTATACTCACTATTACATAGTGAATCAGGCCATTTAGATTTGTCTAAGAGAGTTTCAAATTGAACAGCTGTATTGCAATAAAGTAAGTAACATTTTTGATTGTTGGAGGACGACAATCGTCCATAAGTTAAACTTAATTTGCATTTTCTATTTAATTCCTTGATAATAGCGACCTCTTGTTTTCGATAATTATTTTCTTTTAGTTTAATACAGAAGGGTGGAAAAGCTTCACGTTGTTGTTTACTGTTAGATGATTCATGTATATATATATAATCTAATGTATTGTTAACATGTTTACGATTTGCTCCATAATTATTAAAATACGATGTTGTTGCTACTTCTTGTTGATTTTCCGTTTGTTTATTTGAAGGCGAGATAGTTCGTTCAGTGTTCCTACGTTTAGGAGTATCAGTTGCGTGTGCTAATAATTCACCATCATTTTGATCATTTCTTCTTTTACGTGTCTGACGATATTGATATTCACCTTCATTGTCTTCTTTGTTTCTTGTATCATCTGAACCAATTTGTATTGCTTCATTCAGATCATCTTGGGTACCTTGACTAATGTTAAACTGTTTCTTGCTCCTACCAGCCTTACTACTGGAGTCCATTGCAGAGCAGGAAAGAGACCACAAGGACTTATAGTATATAGCAGAGATATACGAGGAGAGTGATAGTGTTAAAAGTAATAACGAAGTACGTCTTATCTGTACAACCGAAGTGTGATGAATGATATAGAATCTTATGTTAAAGTCAAAGTTAGAGATAATCTGAAGAAAATCAATAGATCTTTTTTCTATATAGAATCTCAAGTTAAAGTCAAAGTTAGAGATAATCGTAAGAAAATCA